AGTGTGCTAAATATGTTTATCATTTTGAGTTATTTGTAAAAATAATAAAAGTGGGATAGAAACAAACAAAAAATATAACAAACATATGAATGGCTGCAGGTTCTAAAATAGAGCCATGTATTTTTGAATCCTTATGGCCACAGTTTATTTTTTTAAGTAATTCAGATATATTTCCTATATTAACCATTTCTATTTTTTGTTATTTTTCCTGAACCAGCAATCTCATTCTGATGATCTGCAGGGTCATATCACAAAATGTTAAAAAAAATGCCAAAGGGATAAGTCAGTCAAGAAATGCAAAGATTAACTCGCTTACCTAAAATAAGCACAAAGTGATTTGAAAGTAAGTTGCGCAGATGGCTTGTGTTTCTGCTCTGTAATATTATTCTGTAGAATAGAAAAGGCTCTTTTAAAAATAAATCTCACAAACATACACTTTTAGCAAGAGAAAAAATAAGCCTCAAAGGATTGTTGGATAGATGCAAAATGGCAGTGACAGAATCTACTTAACTAGATAACGTTATTTACAATGAACATGTACAAGATAAAATAAAGTTAATCAATATTACAACCAATAAAAATAAGTTGCTGGTGGAAAGGTTGAGGTAGATTGGACAGAAGATGCATGTATCTAAAGAATCTAATCTTAAAAAGTACTTTTAGGTAGGAGATACAACAAAAGCTACATTTCACCGATCTACACAACATACCAGCATTGCAAAGAGCTGCTCCCGCCTGGTATGTCTATGGGGGAAAAAGATGGCTGCTCCATTGAGTAATGTGTTAGTCACTTCCTGCTTCAGAGTCTTCAATGGTGTGGACTCACTGTCACTGTTAACAACTGTGTGTTAAAAAAGATAAAAATATGCTGACCTAATAAACCATTTTAAATTCCAATTCCTTTTCCTGATGTTTCTATTCTAACTTCCATTATGATTTCATCTCATACAGGTATTCCTCAGCCTATGACCACCATTGAGCCCAAAATTTCCATTGCTAAACAAAGCAGTTGTTCAGTGAGTTTTACCTCCTTTCACCACCTTTCTTGCCATAGTTGTTAAGCGAATCCCTGAAGTTGTTAGTAACACACAGTTGATAAGTGAATATGGATTTCCCTATCGATGTTTTATAGATGGCATTTAGATCCTAAAAAGCTGGCTTCTATGTATCCGAATGTACAGCCTAAAT